ACAAAGTCTTTGGGAATAGGAACAGATGGAGGGGTTGAATGAAGGACAGTGGAAGTGGGGAAAATAAGAACCAAGAGAGATTATGTAAAGGTGCAAATTTCCAATGATGAATGTCATTATATTGTATACCTAAATTGTACCAATAAAATAAAATTTAAAAAAAACAAATACAAGTTCTAGGGGCTCCTAGAGATTTTTTAGTATTTTCTCTGTAGATGATCATTTCATCTACATATAAAGATTTTGCTTCTACCTTGCCAATCCTATCCTGATTGTGACATTTTATTGCCAGACTATTTTGGTTTGGGCCTATGTTTCAAAGTTTAATGGACAGATGAAAAGTAGGCATATCTGCCCTTATTCCCACCTTAAGGAGAAAGCATTGTATCTTCTCCATTCATATAAGACATTTTTGCTGGAAGTATGGAGTACATGGCTTATCTGTTGAGAAGGTTCTATTCTGCCTCCAGGCTTCTGATAGCTTTTACCATGAACAGCTGTAGAATTTAGTCCAGTACTTTTTCTGCAACTACTGACAGGACCATGTGGCTTTTTCTTTTCCTCTGTTAAAATGATGACTTTGGGGGGTGGATCTTCCAATGCTGAACCAACACTACCATCCCTATAATAAAACCAGTTTACACATACTCCCAGATCTGACTTCTAATAGTTTGTTTTGTTGAACAATTTTTTATCTATGTTCATACTTTTTTTTCATTACTTTTATCCAGTTTTAGGATTACCAAAATGTTGATTTCCTAAAATGAGGGGATAGGTGTTCCTTCTTTTTTCTGCTTTAAATGTTTGATATAATTCATCAGTAAAATGTATATGTGCCTGTTGTTGTCATATAGGTAGGTTTTCAAGCTAGGAATATACTTCGTTTAATGGGTGCTATTCAAATTTATATTTCCTCCAGAGTTAGTTTCATTAATTTGTCTTCCAAGATACTGCTTAGAAGTTATCAAATTTATTTCAAAAAATATTTTTCTAATATACTTTCTATATCTTTTTAAATTCTGTAAAATCTGTGGTAATGTCTTCTAGATCTTGATATGGTAATTTTTTAAATGTATAATTGATATTGTGTAATAGGAAGAAAAGGTCTAAAGGAGCCGGGGAAGTGGGAAGGGTAGGGGAAAGAAAAGAAGGGAAAAGAAAATATATGAGAAAAGGAAAAAAATGGAAACAAAGTCTTTGTACATAAGGAAGGGTGGAGGGGGTGAAGGGAAAGCAGGGGAAGGGGAAAAAATAAGAACCAAGATACTCATGTAAAGGCACAAGATTCCAATGATGAATGTAACTGTATTTTATACCTAAAATGTACCAATAAACTTAATGGAAAAAAAAGATTACAATACACAGGGCTTCATTCCCTGGAGATCCTTGGGAAAAAATCCACTTTCACATTTTTCCCAAATTTTCAAGCTGATTCGATACATTCCTTGCCTCCCAACCCCTTCTTCCTCCTTCAAAGATGCAGTATAGCATCAACCAACCCTGTCTCTCATGGGTCCTCACTTCCAGGCAGTGACAGTCAGCTGACCTAAATGAGAGCACCATTTCCTGAAATTATTGGACACAAATTTTGTGGTTCCCACTGACACTCCACCTAAGTAGGAGAGAAGGTGGGTTGCACAAGTGGGAGCCAAGTGAAACTACAATGGTAGGCTGTGTGCTTCACTTCACCTCCAACTTCCTGTCACCACATGCGACATATAGCAGGCCTGACCACAATGCTGAGCATGGCTGACCCTCTCAGCATCGAATGGGAGACCAGGACACAGCTGTAGCTACAGGGCCACCTGCCCACTACAGCTACAGGAGTCTAAGTAAGGGAGCCACTGTTCTCTGGGATGGAGCCCTGATTCTCAGCTGGACCCTTGGCCAGGATCACCTCCTGGATCTCATCCAGGAGTGAGTTGCTGGCAAGATGATGTTGTGTAGGCCTCCTTTTCTTCATAAGTACATAGGATGAGAAATAATGGCAACTGGGTTACCTCATCCTGGAGGTTTTCTGATGATCGGCTGCACCAAGCATGCTTCCTGGCTCAAGACCTCCATGCTCCCTGCAGCACCCCCAGGAGTGAGTGGAGGGCCATGGCAAGCCCTTTCCATATGGAGACTATGACACACAGTCCTAGAAGCACTTGACAAAAGCCAGAGCTGGGGGAGCCTCATGCCTCTCTCAATCCCTTAACCAGTTATGGAACTCTGCTCTACTCAAACTGTCCCTACTTTTCTTATCTAAGCCTCACATCTCTACTGACTCTCACCTGTGCACAGGTATAGTCTCTGAGAGCACTAAGAGAAGTGCTGGAGACATAGAGGAAGGCTCAGGACAGGTGAAGGTGGTAGATGGTCTCTGCCGGGGCTGACGGCCTTAAGGAGGAGGTAATCAAGGGGACCCAGAGAAACCATGAACAGGAGGAGTCTTTAGATGCCACAGGAGGCCTTGGAACCTGCATGTCTGATTTCCCTCAAGAAGTACAGTGACCACGGCAAGGTGGGACAGAGTAGGGGTCCCATATTGCCCCTCCTCTCTTCAGTTCTCTTTTGGAATTAATCACCTTGTCCTGGAGCAGAGCCTTTACTGTCCAGACTTCTAGTCAGCCAGCATGGGTCAGGCCCAGTCCAGTGGCTCAGAGATGTGCTTTGCTTGGGAACTGTGGGCAGTGGGAAGAGTTCCACAGTGATGTGGGTGGGTCCAGTGCCAAGTGGGAAGTTTGACCATGAGGCAGCCCCCAGGTTCTTAGTCCCGTGGTAGGGCAGAGGCAGAGCTCAGGACTCCCCCACTCCCTCTCAGAGCAGAGCTCTGGCCTGCACCCTTAACTCGCCTTTGTGATCTACCCTGCTGGCAATGTGTTCATCTACTGCTTCCACCTTCAGCCCAGTGCCTGCTTTGGCACAAAGGTCACAGACTCCCATCCTCTTGCTGCCTTTGTGGGACCTGAGCAAGTAATGTAACTGGGACCTGGGCATGTTGGTGGAGGCAAGCCCAGAAGGCAAGGATGATGATTTTGAGGAAGAAGCTGAGCTAAAGGAGCTGCTGAGATGACCTTTGCTTTTCTAATGATGCCCTCCTGAGAAATGAGTCAAGGAAGGGATGAGGGCTGGGAAGGTTTAGACGACCCTGCATCAACCCACCCCTGCTGAATCTCAAGTTGTCCTGGAGTCATCTTGGAAGTGGAGGTCAAGACCTGGAGAATGGACGCCTGGAAACTGAAGCAGTAGAGGACAGAGGGCAACCAACCTGGTTTATAGATGGGAAAGCTGAGTCAATGTCAGGAATGCACTGTTTGGGATTTCCTCCAGCCATCTTTTTCAGCCTCTAAGGAGATGAAATACCTGAAAGTGACCAACCCTATCCTTTATCCCTGCTGCCTCCCCATCCTCCACACGGAAAGCTCCATCAGGTATGGCTGCTGCTGTGGTTTGCATGTGTATGCCCCCGCCAAATGATAAGTTGCAATCAAAGACTCCAAGTATTAGTATCTCAAGATGGAGCTTTTAAGGGTCAGATAAATCAGCCTTTGTGAATGGGCATAGTAGTTTAATAAAAGGGCTGAAGGAGGGAAATGGCTAGGCTCTTTTTGCCCTTCCATCGCTTCCACCACGTGAGGTCGCCTAGACACTGCCATCTATGAGGGACAGCCCAGACACCAAACCTGCTGATGCCTTGTAGACTTCCCAGTCTCTAGAACTGTGGTAAATTAATCTCTTTCACTTTATGCATGATGTAGTCTGTGGTTTCGTTACAGCATCAGAAACAAACAGAGACAGTTGTGCAGTTCTCTGTTGCTGTGGGAACCACTATGGACAGAAGACCAGGACTCTGGTTCTCACACACAGGAAAGAATGGAGCCTCTGTCCTGTAAAAGCCCAGATCCTGCCATTCATTACATGATACTCGTTCTGGGCTCAACTTCTGCTACCAGCTTCCTGGTTGTCTGACTCATACCCACCTGTATTCTCTTAATATCTCTTAGTGATGATTAAATTCAAGTACAGGGACCTTTGGGAGACACTCAGATCACACCTAAACCATAGCACTCTTCATGGATACACTTGGCTATGACACTTTCTTAGCCTTCTCTTGGTTATGATGATCTGGATAATGTGGCATCTGTCTTATCAGGCTAGCCTGGAAATCACTATGTTTGGCTAGAAGATAGATATTCTGACCCATTGATGGGCATTTCCCCTTTTATTCTCACTTCCATATATCTTCCCTTCCTTCTTTCCCACTTATCATTCTATATTTTAAGAGGATTGACACGAGCAGATGAGGACATGAGGAGATGACGTGAGAAGGTCCCAGATTATCCAGCAGGCACCTACGTGTCATCTCAACTGTTACTCTGGGAGATGAGTGAAGGGAGACTTTTTTTAAAAAGGAGAGATCCACATAAAGACAGAAGCAGAGACAGGTGTATTAGTCACAAGCACAGGAAGCTGGAGGATGCAAGATCCATCCTCTGAGCCTGAAAAGAGAGCATGGCTCTGCCCACACTTTGATTCCTGTACACGGTGAGTTTCAGATTTGGGGCTTCTGGCCTTTGGAAGGTGTGGTTTTGAGCCACCAGCGTGTAGCAGTTTGTTGTAGTAATTTGGTTATGTGGGAGAATCTGAGGTGGTCCAGTTTGCAGAGGATGTTAACAGTAGGAAATGACTGTTAGGAAAGCTGCCCTTGAGAGGCAAAGGGTGTGGCTTCTAGGGGGGCTGTGGATGTGGGGAGGAAGTGGCCCAAGACAGGAAAACATAGAGTAGGAAAAAGTGGCTCAAATTAAAGGAACCTAGCAATAGAGGAGGAGGTAGCAAGGCACAGGTGACCCTAGCACTGTCAGGAGGAAATGGCCCAGGACAGGACGGACACTCAAGGATGTAGGTAGAGACTGGGGAGACATGAGCCACTCCAGTCCTGGAAGATCCATTCTGAGGTCATAGGGAGGAACACTTGGGGCTGCAGTCACCATGGGGAGTCCAGTGCCCACATAAAGGAGTGTGGGCTGGAGGGAGACACCTAGTCCTGCACCCTGGAACCACTATCCTCACTTCTCGTAGTGTCTCTGCAGAGCATATCACCCATCAGAAGTGGTCTGAAGAATCACAAATGGAGCAGGGAGTGATTTTCCATCTAGCATAAGGTCTGGACACCCAAGTCTTGTCCTCAGAAGGTCACACTTCTCTCCGGGGTCCTGACTTGTCCTCTGAGAGTGGAGCTCCAGAGGTGCTACAGTGAAGGTAGGGCCAAGGTCTAGGTGGTCAGTGTCAGCATTGTTCTGCTTTTCTCCTTGCCCAGCTCCCTGCTGCTCACTCCATCCCTGCTGGCCCCAGGTTAGCCCTGCTCTTTCTGCCCCTTATCACAAGGAGTGACAATGCTCACATATTTTGCCCCTGCAAACCAGAAGAGGGGTCAGAATGCATTCCTGAGATGCAGGAACTTAATCACCAGGGAGCCTTTTCCTGCCTTTGGGCAGATTAGCCATGGCTGGGCCCAGGCCTGCCTCTAGGAATTCAGATCATCGCAGATGCCCTCAGAGCAGCCAAAATTCTCCTGGCTTCTGGCCATAGAAAACCCAGGTTTATACCTAACCCACGTATGATGCTTCTAAGCAGACCCAGAGTGAGATTCCAGCCCTGACTTCTCCCAATAGGAGCTTCACCCCAAAGCTTCTTTGGGGCTTGCTTGGTGCTCATTAGGGGAATCTGCAGTTTCTGGTAGGACAACATGGGAGCGCCTGGAGGTTTCCCTGCAGGACTAGCTCAGGGCCCATGGTAGAAACCATCAGAGGGCCTCAGGGGAGGTGGGCAAGTGCCTGGCACACCAATGCATGTGCCAGATATGCAGTAAGAACCACTCTAAGTGCCATACCTCTGGGCGGTGCAAATCCTCGAGTCCCCTCTCTGGTCAGGGTTCAAGTGTGAAGGGAATGGACAGGGAATCCAGCCTCCAGTGTGCCATCTGCCTTGAAACATCAGTCAGTCTGAATCTCACAAGGATATCTACCCCATTGTCCTCACCCCCTAGCGCTAAGTCCCACACTTGGTGTGTGGAGCTGACCGTCTCCCCACATTCCTGCTGAACCCTGAAGGGGATGCACAGAACATTTCCCCTTAAATCCAGCTTTCAGGAGGACTCCCGTCAGAAGTCAGGATGCTGCCATAACCCAGCAAGTCCCTTGATACCCTACTTCCAGCTCCAGTTGGCAAGGAGCCACAGCTTGGTCTGGTTCTTCCTGTCATGGCCATGACTTTATTAGGACCCCATGAGGCCTGGCTTGAGATACCCCACCCCTGGAGTGCAAATCTCTCACCAGACCCCAGCCTCTTCTCTCAATCCCCCCACCTGAGGGCTGGACAAGGATAGAAGGCAGGAGGCAGCCAGATGAAAGAGGGTAATGAGATGTCACCAGCTGTGAGCAAGGCAAAGACCAACACAGAGGTGAGGACAGAGAGCTAGAGATGAGGCCAGCAAGTCTGAGACAGGCCTGCTTCCGTGCAGAGGGAAGGTGTCCTGCACAGATCTCTGCCCACCTCCCAACCAAGAACTCTGCTGGTCTGCGAGGCCACACACAGATGGCACCCAGACATGAAGTGTCCTACCCAAGGCTGTCTCTGAGATTCTTTCCATCTATTTTTTGTGTGCTCTGGGTATTGAACCCAGGACCATCACACTGAGCTATTTTGGTCAGTCTTTGGGGGAAGGGGCAGAGTTTTGCTAAGTTCTCCAGGCTGAGCTCAAAATTGCAATCCTCCTCCTGCCTCAGCTCAAAGGCGGATAGACATATGTAAATTTGCCTGGCTGATGATACTTCTCAAAATCACTGTGTAGTGTAGGTAGAGCCCCTAGGGTAGGGAAAGGAGAGGGAGAGGGAGACTAAAAGAGTACCAGGCCCTCAAGGACACAGCTTTGCTCAATTTCACTTCCACCATTTCATCTGCCAGCCCAGAGAGGGCTTTCTTGTGTGGGGGCTGAGGCTGCACCCTACCCATTGGCTCAGAACCCATTCTAAAGCCACTTCCATTATGTCCTATCACCCCAGAGCCCAGGCTGAGGCCCCAGCTGCAGATGGGGAGAGTCAATGAGGATCCTTTTAGCCCCATATAAAGCCAGAAAATCATCAGTCTATCCTCAGGTCATGCCTCCACGATTGCCACTTCCTTCGTGGGTGAGGCATCTCAGGAGGACACAACACACAGCCTATGCTCCTTCTCCACATCCCAAGTATACTGGCCAGACCTCCTCAGCAAATGGCCTCAGTCTGGGACAGGTCTGGGAGCAGCCATCTCAAGGCCTGTCCCAGGCTTGTGCCACCGGGCTCCAGGATCCACATATACGAGCAGAGACAGAGGGTTGCTCTAAATGACCTCTTAAGGACAAAGCCAAATCCTGGAGCCCTGTGACCCAAAGTAACTGATGCACTCAGCAGCAAAGTGCAGCCCATGTCTCCCAGGGCAGCCACCTGGCCTGCAGAGCCTGCACCATCGCCCTGCCGGGGCTCTGTGGTGCGCTTTGACTGCAGGCTCAACACTCAGCTTTGTCAAGCAGCCACATCTAGGGCGGTGCCCATGGCTCCTGATTCCAGGTTTCTACCTGCTGTGGTCAGAGCACAGGTCAAATCATCGATGCTCACCTGCTATTCCGTCTGCTCCTGTACACGGAGGCAACAGGGAGAAGAGAGTCTCACGCATCTCACCCTGCTCCAGGGTTTGTCCAGGGGCTCCTGTGAGCGCCAGGACCTGGGCTCGGCAAGTGCAAGCAGACATCCTGTCCTTCCTTGCCCAGCATGTCCACTGTCTGCCACCCCACCGCTTTTTGATCTTTATAAGAACCAAAGAGAAGCACAGGGCCCCACGGTAGTGGAGCACTATTTCTTTCTTTTCATTTAGGGTTTTTTGAAACAAAGTCTCACTGTGTAGGTCACACAGGTCTTGAACTCACCACGTAGGCCAAGCTGGCCTAGAACATATGGTGATCATCTTACCTCAGCCTCCTAAGTGCTGGAATCACAAATATGTGCCACTGCACCCAGTGCATGCATTGCTTTCTGCAGGTACAGGCAAGAGCCACACACACACACCCCCCCACACACACACCCTGGGCTCACAGGGTGAGACATGACAGCTCGTCTGGACCCAAGCTGTGACCCACATCAGGGTAACGCAAGTGAAAGGAAGAGGCACAGTGAGCACACACAGAGGGAGCCCTTGTTCCTACCAGACTGTGGAGTTCTGGGAGTGTCGCTCTTGTCCCCTGTCACCTTCTCCTCTCTCTACCTTGCACAATTCTGACCAGGAAGAGAAAGGGATAGATATCTTCTTACATGTGTCTAAGGAGTTGCTGGCAATTGGATCAACCCTTCCTGTACTTATCAAGTGATATAGGACCTCCAAATGATATAGGAGAAATAAAATAACTCCCAACCTGCTAGATGTCAAATACATCGAGTTAGAAGGGCCAGGGATTTAGCTCAGTGGTTTCGCAGCCTGCTGCGCAAGCGAAAGGACCTGAGTTCGATCCCCAGTACCAAAAAAAACAAGAGAAGCAAATACATCGAGATAGTGCTCCCCAAAGTTGAAGAATTAATTCTAAGTAACAATGGAGGTTAAGAGTAGGCAATGTTTATTGAGAGAGATAGCCCTTGAGAGATAGGAAGGGATCCAAGTGGGTTGCCAATGAGCCCACTCTACAGAGGAAGTTTTGCAGAGCAAAATCATGAGATGGATACAACGTGAGGCAAAATTGTGATCAACCAATAAGATTACAAGTATAGCTGCTTAGGTAATATTGACCCAATGGGGAAGCAAGTGATGTAGAAAGTGTACATGGAAAGAACACGAACCTTTTTTTGAAAGAAATGTGTCAGGAGGTCCTGGTCATCCACTCAAGTGACTGATGCCTATCTAGACTTTATTGGACCAGAAAATACTGATTATAGCGTATTGTTTATCCCTCGGGGAGGTATGCAGGCCTAATCATTCCATCTTTATCTTGAGGCCTGGCCTTCAATGAATGCACCCTGTCTGACTGCCTATAATATTTCTACCTAAGTTAGCTGTCTATAACAAAAGAATGGATCGGCCCATCATAGGAGGGGCTGCGACCAGGTAGCCCATAAAATGGTTCCCTGGGTTGTTGTCTTCAGCCATCCTCTTACACTCCAACACCTCCCAGCACTGCAGCTGTCCCGAAGCCATGGCTCTGGGTCTCCTGTGGCTGGGCCTCACCCTGCTGGGGGCCCTGCAGACTCAAGCCAAGGACTCCTTCCTGAAACTGATTCTGAGCCCATCTCTGAGCACAGTCCCTCTGCAACCACACTTCCGGGATGACCAGGTAAGGGCTCTGGAAAAGCAGATACAGAGAGGGCCCAGGGGACAGTGGGAATGAAGGGAGAAAGAGGCAAAGAGACCCACGGGCAGTGTTGGGTGGGAAGTGCAGGACTCAGGGAGACCAGGGTCCCTGCATGCCAAGGGGGGACATCTTTAGTACCTTTGCACAGAAGAGAAAACTGAGGCTACAAGGGCAAACCAGCCACTTGCCAGGGCCATCCCATCCCTGACAACCAGAAATAAGTCCTCATCCAGGGTCCTTCTTGGTCCTGGAAGTCTCCCAGCTCCCATCAGCTCCACAGGGCAGCCACATACCCAGAACTTGCAGCCCAGAGGGCTACCCAAAGGAACCTGCAGGGACAGCATGGGAGGGGTGGCCCTGGGACCATTCCTAGGCTCTGCCTATCATCAGCCCTTTGCAGTTCCAGGGGAAATGGTATGCCATAGGTGTGGCAGAAAGCACAATTCAGAATGGAACAGAAAGCCAGTTAGAAATGTACAGCACCACCTTTGAGCTGAATGATGATCACAGCTACAACGTCACCTCTATAATGCCGAAGTAAGCCACCACCTCATGGGGGTCTGGGCGCTGACAGATGTCACAGTGTTACCAGGGTCTGGGGTGCTGGAATCTCCTTTTAGAGATGATTTCTAGGTCCATTCTGTCTGAGACAAAGAACTGAAGGAAACAAGCATAAACAGTAGCAAAGTTTCACATTTATGAAAAGTAGGGGAGGAAGAAGGGCAGGGGGAAATGGGCTCTGCAGAGCTAGTTTGGGCCTCGCAAAAAAGGAGAAAAAATTAAAATACACTCGATAGCTTAGAAAGGGCTACTGTGGAGAGACACGACAGTGAGCACCTAAAGGCGACTGCCCCTTTTATATTTCCCACACTGATGTCACTCCCAGGTCATCCTTTTAAAAACCTGCTCCACTTCTCTCGAGAAGTCCACACAGAAGGGCTCTGAGAGCTGTTCTGCACATGTGTCCTGGGACCTTAACACACTCCTTTCCTAGCTAGTTTTAGCCACACCCTATCTTCCTGCCTCAACAGGAAAGGGGTGACCAAAACTGATGCATACTGTCACTACTCTGCATAAAATCAGTCTTCCTCACTCTCTTCGTCTCTCATTTATTCTTCTATTTATCTCTCTTTTTTTTTTTTTTTTTTTTTTTGGTACTAGGGATCAAACTTGGGTCCTTGCGCTTGCGCAGCAGGTGGCGAAACCACTGAGCTAAATCCCCGGCCCCTTATCTCTCTTTCTTTATCCCCCTCCTTCCTTTCCTCCCTCTTGTTTTCTCCCTTCTATCAAAATTCATGGATAGCTCCAATACAGATACACATAATCAGTAGAAACAAGACAGATAGTAAGGTGCCTCAGATGGGGAGGAGGGAGCCTAGACCCAGCCTGAAACACACTGAAGGCCTCTATCTAAAGCTTGTAGGGAACTGACCTTAAAGGAACCACCCTGCCTGTAATCCTACCAAGCTCTAGAGGCTGAGGCAGGAAGATTGGAATGTGTCTCAAAATAAAAAATAAGAACAGGGCTGGTGATGTAGCTCAGTGCAATGGTCCTGGGTTCAATCTTCATTACTACCACCAAGACCAGAACTTTCAATAAATAAATAAGGTTCAGAGGTGACAGCTGGGCCTGGAGGACTCTGAGTCAGAGTGCCTCACATTAGGAGGCAGCAAATCAGCCAGGCATCAGCTGTAGCCACCTGGGCAGGGGCTGATGAGCAGCAGCCAAGAGAGGACCTCTCTAAGGCCAGTCTTGGGGCATCTCACCCTGAGCCAGGGCCTGTCCTGGGGCTCCTGCGAGTGACAAATATGGGCTCAGCTGAAGTAAAGGGGTTGGGGAGAACCACGAAGGTGAGGCTGGGCAGTCATAGACGGGAGATGACAGAGGCAGGGCAGATGAGGTCTCCGAAGAGGGAGCCCGGGCTCATCCACCTGCAGTACAGGCAGTGCATTCTGGCACTGGCCACTGGGTGGGTTGAAGTTGAAGCATTTGAGAATTGAAGGGAACAGAAGAGCAGGTTTGGGGTGTTGAGTCTGGGGTGCAAGGGTGGTGTGGGCTCTGGGGAGAGAGCAGGTGTGGCCCAAGGACTAGGGAAGTACTTGGCATGGAGCAAAGTGGACAGGCTGCCCCAGGAGGAGACACTGATTGCCAGAGGCCACACAGCAGATCAAACGGAATATTGAAGTAAAGACCCAGGGCCATGGAACAAGTGGGGTAGGGGAAAAAGTAGGGGACAGACTGTCGTGGCCTGCCTGGACCGAAGCCTGAAGATCCTGGTCCATCCCTGCCACACTTAAGCAGTTGAGGGGATTTGAGCCTGTGGACTCTTCTTGCTCACAACTCTACCATCTCTCACTCTCACAGGGAAGATACCTGTGATCTCTGGATCAGAACATTATCCCCAAGTGTCCGTCCTGGCCAGTTCACCCTGAGCAATATGCAAGGTGAGTCCTGAGTGAGGGGGTGTCCTGGGGGTGCAGTTTGGGGACAGAGACTTCTGGAGGGGCACAGGTTTCCTGACCTTTCACAGATGATATCCACAGGGAGAAACTTTTGCTTACTGGAGAGGAAGGGGAAAGTCCCTTGCTCCTTGACCAGGAAAGAAATGACTCCTTGCTGTCCACTCTACAGATTACCCTGAGATACGGAACTACACTGTGAAAGTGGTAGCCACCAACTACAAGCAGTTTGGTGTAGTATTTCTGAAGATGGTTCTCACAAACAGTGTGCACATCGAGATCACCCTCTATGGTGGGTCCTTACTCCATCCCCTTAGGAACTGGGACCCTAGACTCCCTTGGGGAGGGGACCCACAAATTCTTTTCCACTCTGAGCCCCTCTCGGGGAAGACGTCTTTTCCAACCCTCTCTATGGGAAAGGGTCTGCGGCCTCCTTCACTCATTCAACCATATTATGGATTAAGCCAGGGATGCTGGCTCATGCCTGTCATTACACTCACTCTGGAGGCCAAGGCAGGGGATCGAAACTGTAAGGCCAGCCCGAATGACATAGCAAGAGCTTCACTCAAATAATTTTAAAAGAATTGCAGAATTCTTTCACTTACCCCCCGTCTTGGCCACAGGGAGAGCCAAGGAGCTGAGTCCTGAACTGAAGGAGCACTTCGTCAAATTTTCCAAGTCTGTGGGCCTCACTGATGACAACATCATCTTCACTGACCCCATAGGTAATGGCCAGCTGGAGAGAGAGGAATGGAATGTTGATTCTCTCCAGGCCTCCTGCCCCACCAGATAGGAGAGACTCAGTCCCCTACTCTGGTCACTAGAGAAGTAGTGGCACTCACACTGGAACCCTTGGGTCACCAGCAACCCGGGACCCCAGAGCTTTCCTTGACAAACTAGCCAAGCCCTGTAGAGATGACAATTTCAGTCCCAGATCCAAGCTTTCCTAGTCTCACTGCTTTTGGCCACCTCTTGTCTTACTTAGCGTCTTCCTGTCCTGGGCCAGATCCCTTTCCCCCTGGAACTTGCTAATTCCTGAGGCACCTAGAGGTAGTGCAGGGGTCCTATCAGCCAAAGATCACATACACACACACACACACACACACAACCTCCCACCCCTGCCTACTCTGATGTTCTTTCTCCCCCACAGAGAAGTGCATCGATGAGTGAACCAGCAGTGAGTATGGCTGACAGGGAGTGGATGGGAGGCCAGGATGGGGAGGCTGGGTGACTTGGGCCTGCCTTTGTTCCTCTGCTCCCATTCTGAATGCAATTATCTTTGCTCTGCTTTCCCCTCTCTGGTGTCTCCAATCTGTCTGTCCACCCCATTCTTCCAGTCACTTCTGCTCACAGTGACACCTGACTGCCCCACCAGACATAATGGCAATGAGAAAGATGGGAGACCCTTCCTACAGTTCAGGGCTGCAGCAAAAGCCACCCTGCCGACGGAGCCCCCCTTATCTGCCAAATAAACGTATATGCCCTTGTCTCCAAGTCTGCACTCTTTGTCCTCTGGGCCACAAGAAGGGGGAAAGGCCAACGGTAGGCTCACATGAGCATCACTCTCAGGGGCTGTTGTCCCCAGAACACATACTGATGTTAGGGTGCACAGGCAAAGAAGACTCAAGGCTCCTCCACCACCACTGTCCCTATGTCTGCCTTGAATCTGGCCTGGGTAGAATAGTATACTATTCACTCCCACTTTGATGAGCACTCTAGTCCCAGCCATGGCCTCACTTACAGAACAGCCCAAGAGAATCCCCATCCCACAGAAGCACCAATGGGGCCACACCTCATTGCTGCATTCAACTCCCACAGCAGCAGCCCCATCCTGCTGGGGAGGTAAAGGGGGCTAGAGTGGGTGTAAGGGCAGCCACCCCCAGCTCACCAGGACCCTGTGCATGCTGGGAAATGGTGACCAAGACAGGAGGGTGCATGATGGGTGTGGCAGCAACAGAGGCCTATTCCAGGCAGAGGGTGGGCAGGGGTCAGCCCCCTATGGGCCTCTGTTAGCTCCCGACAGACCCATTGTTCACAATCCTGGTTGTCCAGTGGGTGGACACTGTGTCAATGCTGACCTAGAAAGATGCTGCCCCCAATATGGTGACATCCAGACCACCTGAGGGCGCATCCTGAAGCCAGCACAGGTCCAGGGGAGGTGGGGGAATATGCTGTCTTTGATTTCCACCTTGCTGGTCTGGGATTCCATCTGCTACTTCCATTTTCAGCCCTGTGTTGGCTTTGACACGTGGTTGCCCAATTTATCTTAGACCTGCCCCTGTGACAATGGATCCCACAATGCTGGCCCCCAGTGGAGACCTAGGCATGCCAGGGGAGGTGAGCACAGAAGGCTTTGCAGAAGAAGGTGACCCAAGTGGTCTGCTGAAAATACTTTTGTTTTTCTAGGGATGTCCTCATAGGACCGGGAACTAGGGCAGCGATGGATGCTGGGAGAGCAGGGTGAGGGGGGCGAGCCTGTCAGCTCTAGCCTCAGCCCATGGTCAGTTCTGAAAATAACAGCCTCAGTTGTGAGAAAAACAACTGCACCTTAACCCACCGCCATCCTGCTGATGCCCAGTCGAGGGACAAAGTTCGCTGCTCTGCTGCACTCAGACAACATTACCTCCTGCCGACCTCGCCTCAGGCTGTTCCCAGAACTCAACTCCCTCCCAGAACCCTGCCACCTGTTTTGCCTCAGAAAACCCCTTCTTTCCTTCCTTACTTGCATGGGTCCATTAAAACCCTGCACAATAAACCAAATTCAGGCTTTTCTCTGAGATATCTCTGAAAAGTCCCACTCGGAAAACTCAAAAACCTTGCCTGTGTTTCTGGACTTCTGTCACCGTTTTACCCTAACATTCAGTACTGAAACATTCAGTACTGAAACCTGGGATGTAATGGTTTTCAGGCTCCCCCAACCTCATCAGCAGCTCCCCCATCTTGCCCTCTCTTTTCTGGGCATCCTGAAACCAGAGTGCCTCGCCATCAGCCAGCCATCTAGACCCTCTTCCCATTGCCTTTGCCCTCACTCTGTCTGCTGCTGAGTCCTCCTACAAAGAGTTAGTGGTGTCCATCCTCCTGGTCAGTCATCCAAGGCCTAATTAAGCCTGACCTTTGGGTCTAGCCTGGGTGAGTGGACTGACCTGGGTGTGGGTCACTCCAATCACCTCACATTTAAGAGACCAAATCCTGAACCCCTAAGGATTCTGTCTGCCTTTCTTTGGATACTCCTAGCCCTCTTCCCCTTATGGGAGTTACTGTCTCTTGCCCTCCGAGTCTCCTTTGGGCTGCCTCCTCTTCAGTTCCTCCAGTCCCACTACAAACCCAAACACCTCATCTTTCCCTGTCATGAGGCCTGGCCGCTTTCCAAGATAGATAATGGCTCTCTTTAGCCACAGAATGGTTCATTCAGTTTTCAGATACTCCCTGACCTTAACCACTTTCTGCAGCGTTCAGCAAATGGGAAGAGGTTCCTTATGGTCGTGCCTATTTTGCCCTCCACTTTCGTCCCTCCCTCTGTTCATTCTGCTCTACCTCACAGCAGAGGATGGCTTATGCCCCCCCCACTCCATGCCAGCCTTCAGCCCCAGATGCTTCCTCACATGAAAACTCTGATCCCACAAAGGTACCTCCCCATCCACACCCCTTGCCCCTCACTCACCACCTGTGATCTAGCCTTCCTCCTGACAGACCTTCCCTACTGAGTCTACTGAGTCCCTCAATCCACAACCCCTCTACCCTTTGCTAGATGTTGCTAGCACTAATGACCCCACAGCCACATCCCATTCTCTTGCCAAACTGCCCCAACTGGAACCTCACCTCAGTTCCTTCTCTTCAGATGCCTCACATTACAATGCATTGAAGAATTCACTCATCCCATTCACTCCTTTGACCTTAGCTGGCATGATATTCATACCATTCTTATCACCGCTGTCCTCCCCAATGAGAGACAATGAGTTTGGACAATAACGTCACATGCAGCCAATGAGGCCCATGCGTGAGATGACCATAGGAACCCAGAGAACAAATGCTATCCCCAGACAGGACTCCAGTTGACAACATGAACCTAATTACAGGGACTGAGGATGCCACCAGGACTTTATTTAATACATTCTCACAAGTCCAGACAGGGACTCCATTAAGTCCATCATCTTTGACAAACTCTGGGAAATTATCAAGACTCCCAGAGGAGCTCCACCCAATTTATGGCCCAGCTCATACATGCTATAAAGACCCAGGCCTGCTTAAATCCCTCCTCATCCAAGTGACAAATTTTTCTCAAGACTTATTTCATTTCCCACCCAGTCCCTGACATCAGGACAAAATTCAAAAAGTTTGAGGATGGCCCTCAAACCCTGTTGGCTGACCTCATGATCACTGCGTTCAAGGTCTACTAAAACCAAGAACTTGACAGAGAAGCTCCAGAGAGGGCTCCGATAACTCTACCTTTCAGCTCCTTGCAGTAGCACTCCAGCCAGGGCAATTACCCAAAGAGCAGCCTGAATCCCCTGGGCCTTGCTTTTGATGTAGCAAAAAGGGATACTGGGCAAAGTGATGCCCAAATCCGTGGTCCCCTCCCAAAACTCTGTCCCTATATGGTTTAGAGGACCACTGGAAGGACTGTCTGCATTGCAAAACAGAAATGAGACCATCCACTCCTGCCTTGCTAACATAATGAGACATGTTCTTCTAGCCAAAGTAAGGAAGTCCTCAGCCCATCACTACACAAAAGCTCAGGATAACTCCTCTGGTCAAAGCTAAGTCAATTTCATTTCTCCTCATTATGGGGGCCAGTTATTCCTCTTTGTCAACATTCTCAAGACCTATGGTTAAATCATTATTATTGGGGCTATGATTCATATCTAAAATGTTCCCCAAAACCTCAGGTGGGGCTTTTGGGAGTGGCCAATAGCCACTAACTAGCTTTAGGGTATGTGAGTATGGATTAAGGATGTGTGATGATTAGATTAGTTCACTGGTTGATTTAATATAATTCTCTGTGGATAACGGGAAGGCCCACCCTGAGTGTGAGCAGCACCACCCAATATGCTTGTAGCCTGAATGGAATAAAAAGAGAAACAGAAGCTCAATGGTGCTGCTGCTGCTGCTTTCTTCCTGCCCTCCCATGGACTATTTCTGCTCTGTGATGCCCCTCTGTCATGCTGCCCTGCCTTTCAGACAGCTGACTATGGACTGAAACCTCTACAAACTGTCAACTGAAGTAAACCCTTCCTCCCTTAACTTATGGGTGTCAGGTATTATGGCTTAGTAATGAGAAAAGTAACTAAGACAATCAGTTGTGGAAGTTGACAGCCAGTCTTTTCATCCCTACATGACAGCACCTTTAAATTGCTTCACAGAACAACATATGTTCTCTCATTCATTCCTGGTGATTTCCCAAAGTCTTGTCCTCTTCCTCCAATGAGACCTCATTCTCAAACTCAGGGAGGGCAATGGTCATCATCTTCCAAAATCCTCCCTCCCTTTCCACACACTCTACCCTTTTCCTCCTACTCCCTCCCCTGATGGCTCACCTTCACTCCTGCACCCACTCTCCCAATTCTCCCTGAATTTAGGGACACAGATTTCCCTTCTGATGTGACTCACCACCCTGCTTTATGCATCAACCTCAAAGATTCCTCCACTCATCCCAAGGTACCCCAATACCCTCTTTGTTGGGGACCAGCCATGATACGTATGAATTGTTGGAGGCCAACCTACAGGCCCTGCAGTCATGAGGCAGACATTGACTTGCTTCAGAAATAGGGAAGTCTTTGCAGAAGACTTCAGGCTTCCTGGCTGAATGGGATATAAACTCATAACCCCAGTGCTCTTGAGGCAAGATAACATCTGCTGAGGACAGCACAAATAAAACAAGTATCCAGATATGGGGAAGGATCTTAACTTCTTTTGTGATGCTAAATTTGTTCCTCATTCTACTACCTTGTTCTTACTGCAGTCTCTGTTCCAGAAGAGTACACTACCCCTTCCCCTGCACTTCTCACTGGCTAATAAATGGGCCGGGTGAAGAGGTCTTGTCTTTTTCCCAATCTGAGGCACTGGCCTCGCAGTCTCCCTGTACCCACAAACTTGTCTTTGTCTTTCTTTATCCCTTGCCATACCCACCTGAGCAGGTAACTGAGGGTCTGATCAGCACTCAGTAACTGGCATCCGGAACAAGGACTTAAACTGAGGCCCAAGAGGGGAGATTCACTCAAGTAGGGCCGAGGAAATGAAGTGATGAGGAACTCCACAGGACAAACTCAGAAACAACAGGTAAACACTTGGTGCCACGAATTGTTTTCTAGCCAGCTGGGATAATGGGGCAAAATTTGTCAGTGGAAGAACAGAGATATGTGCATCTATTGTGCATGTTACTGAAACAAGCTGGAGCTCAAGTTAGTTCCCATATATTAGCAAAAATGTTACAAGAAATTATCAAGCATCATCCATGGTTTCTGCCAGTGAGAATTTTGGATATTGATATTTA